TTAGTCTCTCTCCCCTCTTTCTCTGACTCTCTCCCTCGCGCGCGCTCTCTCTCTCTCTCTCTCTCTCTCCATCTTTCTCTCTCTCTATCTCTATTCATCTCTCTCGCTCTGTCTGTCTCTCTTACCCATTTCTCTCTATGATTAAGTGCGGCCCAAATATTGGTTTAGCGCACGCACTCGACACGATTTATCAGCCGCGTCTAAAATTCGCGTTAGGTGCCCCCCTGGTGGCGAGATGCACGACGGTTAATTACGTAATCCTGACACACAGCGCCCTCTGGATAAGATCTCGTAAAGCCAGACGACGCCATTCGATCCCTCGCGAGTCGCCGTCATATTTAAAGGCAATCGCCTCTCTCCCCGGGGATCATCACGCACGCACGCACGCGCTATTGGGATGATGCAAACGTAATCAAAACTCATGTAAATTTGCTCGCGAGGAGGCTGAGAGTCATAACTCATGCGACGTCGCGATCGGTATCATCATGTGTGTGTATCATCGGTGTCAACGTGATAGCGACGGCCAGGCGCCGCCGGCGGCAGCGGCAGTACGCTTCGTTGCGGCTTGTTACGTACTCGGCATTCAGGAGTCAACCACCGCTGCCGGCCCCTCGGGAGTGCGTGCATGCCCATGTCTCTGGCGTTGATTGCCAGTACATGAAAAGCCATGGCAATATGAATTCATCGGCGTTAGGGCGGATGTTGTTGCCATGTTGATTGTTACTGGGGAAACAAACGCTGCATTCGTTGTGGGCTGTTATATTGTATTGTATTATATTATATTGTTATGTTATACAGCGGCCCCGTTTTGTCGGGCTCCGCTTACGGGCACATCGCTTAAACGGGATGTGTTATTAAGAAACAATCCTCATACACGTTGTTATGTTTTCACCGCTAAATCGAGACCGCCGCTTAATTTGAACCACCCGTCATTGCGCCCGACGTGTCCCGATTAAGCGAGAAACTGTAAATCTCTCTTAATCTAACTCTTTAACTCTCTCTGCATTACATTTATGTTGACTGTTATTGGTGATAGCCGCTAGCTGCTGTGGCGTCCTAGTATGAGGCCAGCCGTACCGATGCTGCTGTTAGAAATGTTGATGTTGGTTATCCTCAATCAGCTTACCACTTGTTAGAACTTAAAGCCTATACGAAACACAGATCGGTTCGCAAAGAATTTAGCATCAGTCTAGCTATAGTCAGCTGATGGGCCACATGCGTCTGTAAGTAGTTACTACTAGATGTTATGTCCTATCATTACCAGCTTACTTATTGTCGTTGGGTTTTAGGTACTATCACATCTTTAGTTACTGCTAGCTGTCGCATCTAAACCCTAGCAGTAACTTCGGCTGGCTGTAAGATGTTAACTCTTAACCCTAAACCATGCTACCATCTGTTAGACTCCCGAATAACTTGTACTTTTGCTAGCGATACAACCCGGCGTACGCGTAACCCTAGCCCCGCATCAGCTGTGGCGGATACGGTCTACACCCGTAACAATGTGATTTTTGCTAAGCGCGAAATAGAAGGCTAAGAAACCGAGAAAAACCTGCCGCCGCGCCGACAGATTTCACCAGCTGTGTTTTTCGCAGGGCAGTTCTCGCTCTCGTAAACAGATCAGATCCCCTGCGATTTCTCCAACCGCGAGTGCGAAATACGTCATCGGCGACGGTGACGCCATCTACAGTAAGATATTGCCCTCGCGTGTGGACGACCGGCAAGAGGACTTCGTCGCTGTCGAGCCGGGAGTTTTTTGACTTCGAAGACATGCAATATATTTTTGCGGTGGAAACAGAGCGGGCGTCGATCAAATGTCTGTAGATTTACGTCGGCAGATGGAACTTGTTTGTTTCTCCTTCCTGGGCGATCAGCGGCACAGCGAGGCTCAAGTCGGTTTCCGATTCGCTGCGACCGCCGTGGGACGTCGGCTCAGAAATTGCCCAAATAAAATGTTATTTCGGAAACTTAACTGGGCGTTTACAATCTTTTTGAACGTGGAGTTTGCGCGGTATCCACCCCGGCGTTGGCGTGGGCGCGGCAGCGGGGTGGTGGATAAGGGGGCGTCTGCGCGCGCGCGCTTTCTCTCTCTCTCTCTCTCTCTCTCTCT